AGCCAGGAGTGCTCTATYACTGAACTAAATCCCCAGTCCTTTTTATTTTTTATTTTGAAGGAGGGTGTCACTAAGTTGCTAAGGCCAGCCTCAAACTTGCAATCCTCAGCTTCCTGAGTTGCTGGAATTACAGGTGTGTGTTATCACACCTGGATCCATTCACTGTTTTTTTTTCTTTGCTCTGGACTTGAAATATTTTCTTTCTCCCTGAGTTTTTGTCCATGCACAACTTGCTTCCTTCAAGACTGTTCTCTTTGTTCTATTATCAGTCACACTCCTTGAATGATAAACAGGAGTTCCAGGCAGAGGAAGCTGCAAGAGCTAGCACATAAACAGAGAAGAGTTCAAGGTCACTAGCCCTCCTGGACTCTGTGTTCCTCCTGGTCTATTATGCCCAGCCTCCAATAATCCCCAAATTCTGGTATTCACATCTTATACAGTTCCTTCCCACACTGTGTGAGAGTTGGTATATGTGAAGAAGAAAATAGATCAGAAGTAATAGTATGTCACTTCTGAGATAAGGTTATAAAAGACACTACAGCTTTCCACTGGCCTGATCATTTGCTATAGGCTTCAGTTGCCATGTCATAAGCACCTCTATGGAGAAACTGAGACTTTCAGCAAACCATGTCAAGTCAGTGACTCATCTTAGAAGTAGATCCTGCAGCCCCAGGTGATGTAACTTCAGGAAAGATCCTAAACCAGGACTATCTTGCTAAGCTTATCTCTGATGTCTGATGCTCAGAACTGTGTGAGATAATAAGTGTTTGTTTGTTTTTCAATTTAATGATGCTGGGGATTGAACCGAAGGGCAGTCTACCAAAGTGCTATATCCCCATTCCTTTTTTTTATTATTATTATTTTTTTGTGGTGCTGGGGATTGAACCCATGGCCTTGTGAATGTGAAGCAAACACTTTACCAACTGAGCTATATCCCCAGCATTCCCCTGCCCTTTTTAAATTTTTTACTAATTTAGTGAGACAGGATCTTACTAAATTAGTGAGGCTAGCCACAGGCTCGTGCTCCTGCCTCAGCCCCTGGAGTAACTGAGMTTACAGAGGTGTACCAGCATGACRGGCTAAATGTTTATTTTTTAATTTTTGGTACTGGGGATTGAACCCAAGGGCCTTAACCACTGAAGCACACTCTCATCCCAKTTTTATATTTTATTTGGAGATGCTCTGGCTGAGTCCCTTGGGGCCTCACTAAATTGCTAAGGTTGGTTTTGAACTTGTAATCTTCSTACCTTAGCCTCCCTCCCAAGCCACTGGGATTACAGACATGCACCAGGGTGCCTGGCCTACATGTTTATTTTTTAAAGCTGCTAYATTTGGGGGTAATTGTTTACAAATAATAGATAACCAATGTACCACTTTTTATCCGATAATATTCCCCTCAATGTCTAGGACCTTTCTGCTTGTCTCCTTGGGTTCCCATGGTCCACCTGCTCACCTGTGTCTTCTGCTGCACCCAACAGACAGTTACATGATGGTTCTGAAGCTGCTTTCAGAGCTCAATGCTGGCTAAAACACTATGCTATTCTTTCCCTTGGCAGTTTTTCCCCTTAATTTATATTTCTTTATACAATTTGAAAGAAACAAGAAGCCATAATTTCCTGATTCATTTGTACTTGCCCCTCCCCTGTGGTGTTGCGAGGATGATTTTTATGTGACAGAGGTTTTTCTCCGAGTCTTTTTTTCTGCTCTTTCAGTTAACAACAGAAGTTAGCTTGTCACGAATAAATGGAAGTTGGGCCTCCAAAGGTTGGAATTGAATTTTAAATCTGGAATTTGTGTTCTCTGAGTGGGTTCCAAAACTGGCAGCTTCCATGCCCTCCTCTGATTCAGTTTCTCTGCCTCATTGGATTGCTTTTTCCATCAGAGATAGACAAACACTTCCCAGGGTGATTTTCTTGGAAGGCATGATGGAAATGCATACCCAAATACTGTATCATTTCAATGCTATAGCACAGAGTTGCACATGCCTAGAACCAGCTCAGGACTGACTCTTTCTCGGTAGAGRCTTCAAGCTCTGGACCTTGGACTTCCCGTTTTGTTAAATTTTCTATCCTGAGAAGCAGCTCTGAAAATTTCCAACAGACATTAAATTTTGACCTGTCCCAGGACACCAACCTAAGACTTGGCATTGAGGCATCATTTCTCCAGACTTTGCGGTAGTCCAAAATAGGAGATAAGACAGAAAAGAAACAATTTTGGTTATTTTTGGGAAATTTTGTTCCTCTCTGTTGCAGTAACTGCAAATTATTCTACAAGACCTGAAGGAGTTGGGAAGATACAGAATACTACGGAGCTCCTACTGTGTGCAAGATTATTTTTCAATTCATTTCTCATAAGAGCCAAGTGAAGAAGGAATTGGTGGCAAGGGTATTTTGGTCCATGCCTCCTGAACTGGGGATTGAACCCAGGGTGTTACACTATTGAGCTACATTCCCAGCCCTTTTTATTTTTTATTTTAAGACACTRAATTATTGAGGCTGGCCTTGAACTTGTGATCTTCTGCTTCACTCTTTTGAGTAGCTGGATGCAGGTATGTGCCACTGCACCCAGTTTTGATTGACAGTTTTAAAACATGGCTTCAGCTGAGTGTGGTGATGCACAACTGTAATCCCAGCTATTTGGGAATCTGAGACAAAAGGATCACAAGTTCGAGGCAGACCTGAGCAATTTAGCAAGAATATGTCTCCAAATTTAAAACAAAAGGGCTGGGTTGTTGGGTACTGATACCCACTTGTAATCCCAGTAACTTGGCAGGCTGAGGTAGGAGGATCACTAGTTTAAGGACAACCTCAGCAACTCAGCGAGATCCTCAGCAATTTGGCTCAACCCTGTCTCAAAAGGAAAAGGAAAAAAAAAAGGTGGGGGGGAGTGGGGATGTAACTCAGTGGTAAAGCATCCTTGTATTCAATCCCCAGTATAAAAATGACAAACAACACACACACAATTTTTTTTAAAGGAATGAGGATGTGGTTCAGTGGTACAGTGCTTCTTAACATGTATGAGGCCTTTGTTCAAGGCCAGTACTGCAAAAAACAAAAACAAAAAACATAACTTCATATCCCTTGACCTTCCTCTCACCAAGAGTTGGGGTCTATTCTATGTCTTCTTGAATATGAGCAGAATAGTGACATTTTTTTGCAGGGAGTGGGTGGTGTGTGGGTAGTATGGGGATTGAACCAAGGAATGCTTTACCACTGAGCTACACTACATCCCCAATTCTTTGTTTGTTTGTTTGTTTGAGATAGGATCTCATTAAGTTGCTTAGGGCCTCACTAAATTGCTCACACTCTCCTCGAACTTGCAATCCTTCTGCTTCAGCCTCTCAAATTACTGGGATTACAGGCGWACACCACTGCACTCAGCTAGACTAGTGACTTCTTTGGCTACAGAGTATGATGGAAAAGATGCTGTGATTCCCATTTTATTAAAATCCATGAATTTCTTGCCTTGTTGGCTGGGAGATTTACTCTTGGAATCCAAAGTCACCAYGTAAGAAGTCCCAAAGGCCACTGTGCTGTGGGAAAGCCCAACCCATTTGGAGAGGTCATGTAATATACTCTGGTTGACAGGCTCAAGTGAAGTCCTAGGCCGGGCTCCAGACATGCATATGAAAAAGTCTCCAGATTATTCCAGTCATTAAAGTCACCCATTCATACAAGTCAACCCAGCTAAAGCCTCAGACATTATGACCCYAGAAACAATCCGTTTTTACTATGCCTTGTCCAAATTACTGACCCATAGAATCGGTGAGCATAACAACTAGTATGTGATTAAAAAAAAAAAAGTGATTTGAACTCAGGTCTGTTTGAGTATAAAACCTATCATTTTCCACTGGAGATTAATCCKTAATGAAATAAGGGGACTAGTTGGACTGGGGCAGGGGATCAGATTGCGAATGCTTTTCCTCAGTTGAACTACACCCTAAATCCTACACTCATCTTCCCAACCCAGGGTCGACCTGCACACACATTTCAGCTCCTGGGGTCACTTGGCAGAATCCCTGACTGCTTGTCTTCTGATGCTGACTGTAGAAAGCAGAAGCAAGACACCTGGGTCTGCAGGCTTTATCTCCGGCAGCTCATACCTCTATGCTGGTGCCATATTGTCCCATTTTTCAGGCAGATCTTGCCCTGCAAGAGATGCTCTGAGCCAGGCCCTCTCTGAGAATAAGTTAGAAGCCCTTTGAAGATTGGCTTAAAAAGTATGGGTCTGCTAATGGGATAGAAGTGAGGAGGTTTTGGCCTTTTATTCCTGTGGAGAAGGGACGTGGGGTCTGGTCTCTCTTCTTCCCTGTTTACAGTAGTGCTGTGGGTTTCATTTCATTAATCTTTATAAACTCTCTGGAGGTTGTCAGGTGCCAGGTGCTATAATAAGTGTGAAATTTAACTTCTTTTTCATCAAGGAAAAAAAAAAAAACTCAGCCTGCAGAGATTCAAGTGCTGGGAATCTGCTTGTAAAAGACAGGAACCCTATTGTCAACTTTAAATAAATTGCAACTGAAGCATGATCAGGCACCAAATTATCACAGAAAGTCCTCTCAGGAGCTCTTGCTGTCCAGAAAAGTATAAGTAAGAATTTGGTCCAGGAAGGGGGCAGGTTTGAAGGGTCACAGCCCTGCTACCTCTCATTGCTAGGGGCTTCTAGTAGCRTCCCCCACCCCAATATACTATTCTCCCTACCGAGGCTCACCATTCCCCTCTGCAGGCTYTCCTCAATGCCTCCCACCCTCCAGTCCTTTTAGCCCCACTTCCCCACCTCCCTGCTACTGCAATTACCTCTGGTGAGCASTGCTGGCTGAGTTATCTGAAGATATGACCCTGGCCATTAACCTTTAAAGAGCAAAATGCCAGTAGTGCTGCATCATAGAGAGCACACCTTCTATTTACAGCTGCTTTTTCAGATCACAAGGTACTAAGTAAAGAGACACTTGCTTTAATAACAATCATGTGCCTAAAATTCATGCAGGGGAGAAAAAGCCATGAAGGGATCAGAGCAAGCAGTGGGAATTCAGGTCAAACCAGAGATGTTGGACAGCAAACCACAGGTGGGTTCTGGGACTGCAGCTACTAGGAGCAGCTTTGGCCAATTCCACAAGGAAGGAAAATTAACTAATTAACTTCTACTGAGGTTTTTTTTTTTTTTTTGGTGGGGGAGGTGGTTACTGGGGATTGAACTAGGGGCACTCAGCCACTGAGCCACATTCCTAGCCTATTTTGTATTTATTTAGAGAAAATGGATCACTGAGTTGCTTAGTGCTTCACTTTTGCTGAGGCTGGCTTTGAACTTGTGATCTTCCTGCYTCAGCCTCCTGAGCCACTGGGATTACAGGTGTGCACCACTATGCCCCATAACATCTACTGAGTACTTACCATGCATCAGTTGTTACTCAAGATATTTTACTTACATATTTTACTTGGTAATCAGTGCAATCCTGTGTGGTCTTATTTTACAAATGAGTAAATTGAGGCTCAGAAAGACATAATTAATTACTTCTGAGATTAGTAGACCCAAATCACACAATTGTTAGAGGAAGGAACAGGAATTCAAACCCAGCTTTATCTTACTCCACATTCTTTATTTTACCTACAGCTGAAGAGACTATTTATCATCCTTGTCTGGGCAAAGATATCCTAGTGTGTGACCCCCACCTTCCTCAAAAAGAAAAGAAAAGAAAAAAAAAAATATATATATATATATTCCTAACATGTTTACAGAGAGGCCTGGATGAAAGAGTTTTTAATACCCCTTAAGAAGATCCCAGAGCTGGCCATGGGGGCTCATACCTGTAATCTCAGGAACTTGGGAGGCTGAGGCAGGAGGATTGCAAGTTCAAGACCAGCCTCAGCAACTTAGTGAGGCCCTAAGCTACTTAGTGAGATCCTGTCTCAAAATAAAAAATAAAAAGGGCTAGTGATATAGCACAATGATAAAGCACCTCTGGGTTCAATCCCCAAAAATAAATAAATAAAAAGAAAGTCTCAGAAGCCAGGTATGATGGTATAAACCTACAATTCCAGTGACTCAGGAAGATGAGGCGGGAAGATCACAAGTTCCAGGTCGGCCTCTGCAATTTAGCAAGACTCCATCTCAAAATGAAAAATAAGAAGGGCTGGGATGTAGCTCAGTGGTAGAGCCCCACGGGGGTTCAATCCCAGTACTGCAAGGAAAAAAAGAAAGTTTCAAAAGAAACTCTAAACTTTGACAACTGTACTCATCTGGAATTGTGCCATAAAAGGACTGCCATTCCTAACTGCTCTCTAATCCTTAGGAACTCCTCAAGGTCGCACTGAAACATCATCTCATCCATAATGTCTCACAGGTACCTATATTTCTTTCTTTTCTTTCAATTCACTTTTCTTTTTTTTTTTAAAGAGAGAGAGAGAGAGAGAGAGAGAGAGAGAGAGAGAGAGAGAATTTTAATATTTATTTTTTAGTTCTCAGTGGACACAACATCTTTGTTGGTATGTGGTGCTGAGGATCGAACCCGGGCCGCACATGCCAGGCGAGCGCGCTACCAATTGAGCCACATCCCCAGCCCTCAATTCACTTTCAATGACTCCAAATACCTATCTCCCCAAGCTGATGGGACATGAATGCCCAGCTATTTTGCCCATCCCCATGAAACTCAAGAGTCCCAGGAAGTATTGTGGAAGCTCTTTCACTCATCAGCCTCATAGGCCCCTGATATACTTCACAGTCCAACCCACTGACCCTTCTATCAGGAACTGGGGATTAAACCCAGGAGTACTCTACCATTGAGCCACATTCCAAGCCCTATTTATTTATTTAAAATTTGAGATAGAGTACTGCTAAATTCCTAAGGCTATCCTCAAACTTGCAATCCTCCTGCCTCAGCCTCTTGAGTCTCTGGGATTACAACATATGCCATTGCATCTGCCAGGCTCCATCAGGAGGATTTGCTGCTTTGTGGCAGAGAGCTCTTGGGGGTCCAGCATCTCTATGCACTTACTTGGAGGTACTGCCAAAATGTGGGTTTAGACCTGCATAGCTCAGAAGATCCCTGGCTTTAGATCCCTTCCCAATCTGGCAGCCCTCCAAGGGATCCTCCTCTCTCTTCACTCATTCCAGGACCTTCCTACAGTCTCATTACTGAATTTAGGTTAGCAAATGGAGCTGGGCATGATGGTGCACTCCTGGAATCCCAGCTACTCAAGAGGCTAAGGCAGGAGAACTGTAAATTCAAGACCACCCTCAGAAATTTAGCAATATCCTGTCTCAAAATTAAACATAAATATAAACCCAAAATGGAAACTTTCCACTTATTCCCCATTGTTTCCATCATACTTGAAGACAAATAAAAATAATTTTCAATTCCTTTTTTTTTKTTTTTTGGTACTGAGGATTGAACCTTGGGGTGCTTTACCATGAGCTACAAGACCAGACCTTTTTGTTTATTTAGATTTTAGTTGTAAATGGACACAACACCTTTTTAATTTTATTTATTTTTATGTGGTGCTRAGGATTAAATCCAGTACCTCACACATGCCAGGCAAGTGCTCTACCACTGAGCTACAACCCCAGCCCCTTATTTTTTAATCTGGGACAAGGTCTTCCTAACTTGCCGAGAGTGGCCTTGAATTTGTGATTCTCCTGCTTCAGCCTTCCAAGTTGCTGTGATGACAGATGTTCATGACTGTGCCCAGCTTCCTCTCAGTCTCTTATACCTGTAAGATTTAATCCATCAATCTTCAAAATATATCCAGAGTCTGCTTAGTGGTAGAGCACTTGCCTACCATTTGTGAGGCCATGAATTCAATCCCCAGCACCACTGTAAAACAAATAATTAACTAAATGTCACAAAATATATCCAGAGTGTAATCATTTCTCATCACCTCCAGTGCTACCAAACTCAGTCCAAGTCTCCCACTACCTCTTACTGGGACTCTTGTACTCTGACTAGTCACCTGCCTCCATTGTTGCTCCTGTGCAGTCTGTTTTCTGCACAACTAGAACTTCAGTGCCCAACACAGTAACAACTAGCCACATATGACCATTTAAATATAAGTCTATGTTTTTGTTTGTTTGTTTTGTAGGGGGTGCAGGGGATTGAACCCAGAGCCTTGCATGCTGAGCTATATCCCCAGCCCTTTAAAAAAAATTTTATTTTGAGACAGGATCTTGTTAGTGTGCTGAGGTTGGCCTCCAACACGCCATTCTCCTGCCTCAGCCTCCTAAGTTATTGGGATTATGGGTATGAACCACTGTACCTGGCTTGGAGTGAACCTTTTAATACTTCTAGTCATATTATGTCTCTCATCTGCTCAAAATGCTCCAATGACTTCCCATTGCCTATAGAACAAAAATCCACAGAAATGACCATSATATTATTCAGATATTATGTGGCCAGGTCCTCTGCTATGTCTCTTGTCTGGTTTCCAACGCTCTATCTCTCATTTCCGTTACTGGCCTCTTTGACATCTTAGGATCTTTGCACTTGCTCTCTACTGAGCCTTTGTTCAAGGCTCTCTACTGTGCCTCTAACACTCTTCCTTTAAATAATTACATGGTCTACTCTCTTACTTCATTTAATGTCTCATTTCATTCAAATACCTCCTTCCCCAGAACTCCTCCATCTGAAAAGAAGTCCTGTCTTCTTCCTCTAACCTGAAGTCATTCTCTAGCCACTTAGTCTACACTGTTTCTTTATGGCACTTCCCACTATCTGGCATTGTATTACATATTTATTTGTTTTGTGTCTGTTTCTCTCACTGGAACTCATGCTCCATCAAGACAGAGGCTTTGTGATTTTATTCACTGCTCTCTCCCCTTGCACCCAAAACACTGCCTGGCACATAAAAGGGACTCTGGATGTTTATTAATTGATTGAAGGACTAAATTAATGTTTTCTGCTCTGCAAATGCAGCTGAGGCAGGGAATTACATGACTTGGCTACCTTCTTGGAATGGAGAAGAAGAAAAATGCAGAAAAAAGAGATGAATTAATATCTTGATAAATTATTTTGTTACCAGTCTATGTTAATAGAATTGGATATATACATTGACTATACTTCTGTAAGGTTTGTTTTGAAGACATGAACCTGATCCAAAGCCATTAGGGAGAATGCAAATTTTACATTTACTTCTGCACCACTAGACTTGCAAGAAATACTAGGTGAATTTAGAAAATTGCCTGCTGGAACCAGTCTATCTAAAAGACACAAAACCTGTACAAACACCACACATATGTCCACATTATACAACCATATCCAGTGTTACAACTTCTCATCACACTTAAAATAACCCTCCTTTCACTACTTCACAGAAGTTCACAAGCAGCAACTGTCCTGCCACCCACTTCCACAAGCAAACGTCAATTCTTTTTCAAGGTAAACTGTTATGACTTAGGCAAGAGTTGTCTCCCGAAAGCTCTTAGGTGAGACACTGCAAGAAGTTTTAGAGGTGAAATGATTGGGTTATGAGCGCCTTAACTTAATTAGTATGTTGATACACTGATAGGGATTAAGGGGTGGTAATTATAGGTCAGTGGGGTGTGGCTGAAGAAGATGGGTCACTGGGGGCAYGCCTTTGGGGTATAGATTTTGTCCCTAGAGATGAACACTCTCTGCTTTCTAATTGTCATGTCCTGAGCTACTTTCCTCTGTCACGCCCTTCTGTCATGAATGATGTTCTRCCTCTTCAGCACAGAGCAAGGGAATAGGCTGACTATAAATTAAGACCTCTGAAACTGTGAGTGCCAAATAAAACTTATCCTCCTCTAAAACTGTTCTTGTCAGGTCTTTTGGTCACAGAGGTGAAATAGCTGACTAAAACATCTATTATAGTATTTTGGCTTCTCTTAACGATGTAACTCCTGGACTGGCATGGTGGCATATACCTGAAATCCCAGCAACTTGGGAGGGTGAAGCAGGAGGATGGCAAACTCAAGGCCAGGACCGTTAATTTAGAAAGGCTCTAGACAGTTTAGCAAGACCCTATCTCAAAATTTTAATAAAGAGTGGGGAAGTAGCTCAGTGGTAAAGCACCCGAGTTCCATTTCTAGTAAAATAAATAAATAAATAAATAAATAAATAAATAAAGCGATGTTACTATGCTTTTCAGGTTCTTTTTTTTTTTTTAAAGTACATCATTGATGAATTTTTCAGAGTTATGCCCCAACTCCTTTTTTCTTATAAATCCTGAGGGATTTTGCACAGCTTGGTGATTTTTAGGTGTACATATGTTACCTTACAACACAATTGACTGTAATKGGGTCCATCTACTCTTTATAACAACCCACAATAGATGGAAARTGTCTTTAGGGCAGGGACTATGTTTTATTCATTTGTGAATCCTCCCCTCCCCCAAGACAGTAGCTCGGAATGAAACAGATGGTCATGAGATGTCTGTTGCTTCATAGCCTTCTTTCAGGATATCTCTATTAGTACCCTGGATGCAGACTGTCAAATAAAGCTGGAACAGGATGGCCARAAGAATTCTGGGATAAACCTGCCCAGGGAAGGTCTCTGACCACCCAGAGCTTCCAGGGTCTATTGCTGAGAACCATTAACTTTCAATCCCCACTCCCAAGTCCCCATGCCCGCCCCGGCAGCACCCTATGGAAACAGCAGCAGCTCATACTACCAGGAGGCCCCACATAAGATGTATTAACATCACAAAAGTTAATGGACCAGAAAGCGGGGGAGGCACAAATCACTTTCAGCCACTTTCCTTGGCAACTAGAGAACAAGTTCAATGTGGTGCCTGAGGAAGATCAGGCCTTGGGAAGCMGTGGCCTTCATGGTCTAAAGCATTACCTTAGAACCTCCCTGGAAAGCAATACCTCCCTGATCATCTGGGCCTAGTAACAGATGACGCAGAGCAAGTGACATGAGCAGCCTGGTGTTCCTTATGCTGCTTTCTGTCCTTTGTCTACTGAGGGCTTTATGTAGCTTTTGCTGGCTGTGCAGGGCTTTCCCTGGGGAGAAGTAACTTCTCTCCGTCTGGGAAAGCTTAGAGGTGCCTCTGCCTCTCCCTGGACTTCTGGCTCCTTGAGTCCTGGTAGTGAGAGAAATGTCTTTATTAAAAGGCTCCAAGGCCTCTTTGGGTGTAAAAGATAAATCTCCTCATTACTCCTTATAGCCCCACTTTGTTCCACATGCAAGGCTTGGATGGGCCACATTGAGTCTTATAGAGACAGCATGTTTTACAGGGTGAAGGGCTGGGGAAAAAAGAGATATAAGGAGATAGAAAGAAGGTATATAAAACTAGGTAGACCCTGAYATTTAAAAGGAAAAGATGGGAAGTAGCTAAGAAATGCCTAGTGGCAAGAATGACCAGGAGACTTAAAGAAACAGTGATG